GCCGTGGTGATCGACCTGGGACAGGCGTTCACCAAGTGAGTGCCCTCGGGCCTGTCGTCACAGAGCCGAGCGCTGCTGTCGGGATTTGGGGTGCTCGGTGTGGGCGCGGGAAGGCCCAGGGAGACCTCAGAGCCTGAAGGGGCTCCTGGAGAGCTGCGGAGGGACCTGGGCTGAGGGCAGGGAGGGACAGCGCGGTGGGAATGGGTTCACACTGCTAGAGGGCAGGGACGGATGGGATGTTGGGGAGGAATTCTCCCCTGTGAGCGTGCTGAGGTTCTGAGATGGATCTAGAGGAGCTGCAGCTGCTCCATCCCCGGGGGTGGTCCAGGCCGGGTTGGATGGGGCTTGGAGCAACCTGGGCTGATGGAAGGTGTCCCTGCCCAGGGAACAGGATTGTAACAATACAGTCTTTAATGTCCTTTCCGACCCAGACCTTTCTGGGATTCTGTGAATAATTATATGGTTCCTCCCCCCCTTCTGTGTTGTTCTGTGTGGTGCAGAGCTGACAATAACATTTGGCTTGTTAGTCTCCTGTTTTACAACCTATAAATTGAGATTGAAGCAAGAATCACTCAGTATTTATTTAGTAATTATTATTTAGTATTTATTTAGTGATTGCCCACGTATGTGGTAGATCACCCAACCCTGATAGTGTTCACAGCCAGGTTGGCTAAAGCCTTGAGCAACCTGCTCTGGTGGGAGGTGTCCCTGCCCAGGGCAGGGGGTTGGAGCTGGATGATCTTTAAAGTCCATTCCAACTCCTAAAATTCTATGATTCTATGATTAACTCATCTTGTGGGACAAAAATGTAGCTGTGCCTCTGCCTGCCCTGTGCCAAAACACCCTGTTGTGTTCCAAAGCCCCAACTCCCACCTTGTGTCCCTTGTGGCAACGGGGCAGTTTGAGCCCTTTTAAACTTATATCTGGCCTAAACACTCAGGAAATGCTCTCTGGGTTCAGTGCCCTGTTTATTATTGTCTTAAAACAAAAGCCTCCATTCAGCTCTGTGCTGCTCTTCCAGGGCCAGACCCACACCCGTGGCTGTGTCCATGTGGATGTGTTTCCCTGCTGGAAGCCCCGAGGAGTTCTCTGGTTGCCAGGAGAGGCAGGAATCACAAGAACAAGGTTTATTGCCCAAGGTTGTTTTGGTATTAAGTTGTACTTGTCTTTCAGACCAGCAGCAGGTTTTGTTACCCAGGAATCAGGGGCTTTAACAGAGCCTTCGTGGATAGGAACAAATGATTTCATGAGTGGCTTTTTGTGGGTTAATGTTGTGTGGCCAATTGGAAGCTTTGCCAGAACTTGGGGGGTGGGTGAGGTTTTATCTCCTGGGCATTCTTAAGCCAATAAAATGCTCTCATGGAAACGTTTTTCCCCTGAAAAGTGTCTGTTTAGAGTGTTTCCAGCCTTCACTTCCAGCTTTTCTTGGGGTTGTTCAACCTGGAGAGAGAAGGTCCAGGGAGACCTTAGAGCCATTTCCAGTGCCTAAATTGGCTCTAAGAGAGCTGGAGAGGGACTTGGGACAAGGGCATGGAGTGACAGGACAAGAGGGAATTGCTTCCCCCGAGAGAGGGCAGGTTTAGATCGGTAGAAGATACCACAGCTTGATTATATGTGGGATATCTGTCCTTTTCCAAACAAGACTGAAATTAGCCAGAAGTTTTCAGGCTGACAGGTGAGGAAAACTGCCTGTAGACCCTGGAACTGCACAGTGCTGTGTTTGGGAGACCAAAGGAAAAATTAAATGCTGTATTATGACTGGTTTAAGATTATCTTTTTCTGAAATTATCTGACACTTTGACAGTTGCCAAACACCAAAATAAAGTATTAATTGACTTTTTCCATTAAAAGGGCTCCAAGTCTAGCAGCTTTATAGTCTTCTACTGTGAGGTTTATACTTCCTGGAGGTGGCAGGAGTGAAACAACTGTCAAGCACTGAGCTGGTTAAAATAAATCTTGATTTTCTTTTGGTTTTAATTCCCTTTCTTCAATCCATGGTTGCTGCGTGCTTTAGGAAGACCAGGTGGCTTCCTCAGAAGTTCATTTTGGGGTTGCTGCTGGTTTTATCCTGTTGCATCTCAGTTGGGAGCAGAGCCATGATGTTTTGTCAGGAGAGCTGGAGCAGGAACCAGGCACCTTGAGGCACCTAAAATCACCAGGATCCTTGTGGAGGGAATGCATGTCAAAGCTGGAAATAGGGATAAAGGATCAGTGGGATGTTGCTGGTCAGAAGTGAACCACCCACAGCAGCTGTGTGATAGTGATTATCATGTCTGTGTCTTTTTCTTCTAATTAAAGATACAGAAAATGAGGATTTAATGAGGATATAACTGTACTGAGCTGCTCAGTGGGAAGCAGGAGAACCATCAGGATTGAGCTCTGCAGTGCTGACAGAAGTGAAGAAGAGTTGTATTGTTTAATGCACCTGAGAGGGAATCAATTAAAAAAAAGATATAAAATCTTTTTTTATCTTTCTAATCCATCTTTAAATCTGTCTGTAAATGGCCAGACAGGAAAGTTATGTGCAGAGGCCTCATGGCAGTCACAGAAACCTCCCTAATTAATCACTTTTTGATGAATCCTAAACCAGTATGTTAAATAGTGACTTCGGATAAAATGTTTTCCACATTTTCTTCTAGGTGTGGCTTTGCAGGCGAAACAGGACCAAGATGCATCATCCCTAGTGAAATAAAGAAACATGGTGTCTCAAAGGTGAACTGTTTTGCCTCAACTGCTTTACAGTGTTTGGTGTGTTATGGGGTAGAAAGAATTTGCAGATTTTCTGTCCATCCTAAGCTATTTTTCATTGTCTGAATAAAATATTCTGAAATGTTACTCTGTTTTTCAATTGCTTCTACTGAGATTGTGACTAGATACATGCAAGTGATGGCAATGCTGATGCTAATTACTGCTCATCACCCACAGAACTTGCATTTGGGGCACTTATTGGTAGATTTATTTGCCTAGTTATGCTTTTTCCTTTCAGGAGAGGGTGGAAACTTTGGAAAACTAATGCTGAGATAAGTTACCAAATTAAAACGTGAATAAACTATGGGTTTATTTATAGGGTGAGTTTATGAGAGACATTTTTAAAGCAAA